ACTATCCCAAGCAGGGCTGGGAGGGGGGTATAAAAAGACCTCCTGCCCATGTGCTCACTCTCTTTCCTCTCCTCTGCTGCTTCTTGCAAGACCATCTGTCTTCTGCAATAAACTGTAACCTTCTTCCCAAAGCAGTTGCCATGTTTGCTTATTTATTCCCGGCTTGGATGAACCAGGATGAAGACTTACTTCTAACACTGCTAAAGGCAAGAATAAATAACTGAGCAATTTTGCAAGTCTCTCCTGTTACTACATCGTTTTTACCTCCAGAATGTGGCCTGGGATTGCACAACAGGCTAGATTACAATCCGGCTGACTAGTTTGTAGATGTTCGGTAGAGACCTTGCCAAAGTGATTTTTAATAGTCTACGAAGGGACAGGAAAACCTGGCAATCAATAAACCATGGTGGACTATGCTTGTTTTGCCCTATTTTGATTCTCCTCCCCAGCATCAGCCCATCCATTTTAGTCCTGATCCCTGCTGATGGAGAAACCCTCTAACATTTTGGTGAGGGTCAGGCCATAGGCCTGCAGCCCAAGGAAAAACCGGAATCCAGTGGGCCAGAAAGCAGCCCAGCCACCGTGCCCCTCCAGTTCCAGGGCTGGACTTGCAATTATGTCTGCCTGCTAAGGTGCTGGCCCGCGTCATCCTGCAAAGCGGGGCTCACTTGGCGCCATGCTGGGAGCTCCAACTAAAGGCCGAGCGCTCCAGCCTGGCCCTGCCAAGGAAGGGGGCAGCAGCCAAGGCTACAAGGTCTCTTGGGCTGAGGTTCATTGAGTGACACAGACATACACACATACACACACACACACATACACACACACAGACAGAGAGAGTGTGAGCCTGGGTTACCTACCTCTTGCAGCGGATTTTGTCAGGGGTGCTCAAAGGCTACACACACACACACACACACACACACAGAGTGAGCCTGGGTTACCTATCTCTTGCAGCTGATTTTGTCAGGGGTACTCAAAGGCTACACACACACACACACACACACACAGTGAGCCTGGGTTACCTACCTCTTGCATCAATTTTGTCAGCGGTGCTCAAAGGCTACACACACACACATACACAGAGTGAACCTGGGTTACCTACCTTTTGCAGCGGATTTTGTCAGGGGCGCTCAAAGGCTGCCCCAACTTTACTCTGGAATTTCGGGGTTGGCAAGCGGGGGGGAGGGGGGGAAGGCAGCACCGCGTTTGTAGCCATCGGCTGCACCTGCTGGAAAGACTCCCGGTCCCTCCCCGGTCCCTCCTGACCCCCGACGGCCTAAAGGCTGAGCCAGGCCAGGCCAGGCTAAGCCCCAAGCTCGCCCCTTCTCTGCTCCTCCGGGCTGGGCTGCAGGCAGCGCCGGATCCGGGCAGGGAAACGCCGCTCTCGGCCCGACGGGGAGGCGCCTCCCCAGGCAGGAAAGAGCGCGGCGGCGGCCGCCTCTCCCAGGCCCGTCACGCAGGCGCAGCCTCAGCCGCTCCGCCCGCGAAACGGGCCCTCGGGGAGGCGGCGGCGGCGGCAGCAGCAGCGGCGGCGGCTCTTTGGATGCTTGGCCGCGGAGATCTCGCGGTGCTGGCGGCCGGCCCGGGCTGCCTTCAGACGCCGCCTCCTTTTTGTGTCGGGGTCGGGACTGTGCGCAGTGGAGCGGGCGGGGAGGCGCGCCGGCAGCAGCAGCAGCAGAGGAGGAGGAGGAGGAGGGAGAGCCGGAGCCGCAGCGGCCGGAGGCGGGAAGGAGGAGCGCGCTGGTCTGCCTTCGCCAGCGCCGCCGGAGCCTCGCCCAGTCCGATGTGCCTCCTGCGGCGGCGGCGCTGCAGCTGCTGCTGCTGAGCCAGCCGACGTGCCGGCCGAGCCTTCCCGCCGCCGCCGCTGCCGCCGCCTCCCGCCAGTCCGAACATGGCCATCCCGGCAACGTGCACCCGCTTCACCGACGAATACCAGCTCTACGAGGAGCTCGGCAAGTACGTCCCCCCCGCCCGGCCGCCCCATCCTGCCCGCCTGCCTGCGCGGCGCAGCCCTGGGCACCGCCACGCCGCGCCTTCCGGGGGGCCCTGGAGCCCTGGCCTCGCTTCCCAGGCTTGACAGCGCCTCCCGCTCGGCCCCCGGCCACTGCGGTCTTTCCGCAACTCTCCCCGGGCAGCCGCCTCGGCCGCCGGCTTGCGCAGGAGCGGCGCTGCCCGCCCGCCCGCCCCTCCGTAGTTGCTCGAGCGAGCTGCAACTTCTGCGGCCGACGGGGGCGGAAGGGGCTGCGCAGCGCCGAGGGGGCCCAGGGAGCTGCGGCACCGGCGCCCGCTCTGGGGGAGCCTCGAGGCCGGGGAGCCAATTTCGGCGCTCCCGTTGGGAAGGCCAGCCTCACCTGTCTCGCTTCGGCTCTTAACTTCGAGATTCTCCCCCCCCCCCCTGCATTACAGCAAAGGACCATTGCTACATTTCTCACACGTCAGGATCAGCTCTCTGTGTAGCCCCATCCTCAACATGCACCGCCTCTGTCTTTCCGTCTGTATTTTTCTCCTCGGTGCCCAATCTAGGGGAAGGAATAGTGTCTGGGGAGAGAGGGGAGCTGGGAATATCCCAGGTGCGTCTTCGTTTTGCACCAGTCTCTACGCATCCCTCCGGCTTGGTCTTGGACCCTGGGGTGGTTCTTTTTACATTTCTGTGCAGGGATGGAAGCAGGTGGATACCGGTGGGGGAAAATGGCTCTCTATCAGGGCTGAAATTGGCAAGGGAGGAGCAGCTGGGTCCCAACCTAAAAAAGGGTCCCTTAGATAGGTGTTATGTAGCTACCCATGGCTCCCAAGCAAACAGCCAAGTCTAGGGCAGAGATGAAGTAGTTGGGAATCCTTTGCCTTGCAACAGGCAAGCCCACTGCTGGTTTTGAAACTTCTTGTCTGCAATAATAATAATTCTAACCTATTGTAACTTTGCAACAGAGTGTCTGAGGTTCTCTCTTCCCTCCACCCCCCACCCCTGCTCAGAATTGGAAGGCAGATGATCTCTTCTGCCATCCACGCCAAATTGCAAGCCGACTCCCCCCCCCCAAGGGGAAGGTGGTGGTGGGGTGTGTGTGTGGCACTTTCCTTGCTTTCTTGGGTGGCCCCTATTTCAGGATGCTGTCCTTGCTTTCTGGGCACCAGACAAGATGGGGATCCGGTTTCTCCTCTCGGAGAAGCGGAGGCTTCCAAACTGAATACTGCTTTGGAGTAGGCTGCTTTGTGGTGGCTTGTCTGTCTTAGGACCGGGGCTTCCCTTGCTAAATTTGGATTGCCCGGTGTTATAAAAGGCCACTTACGAAGTACATATCAAGGCTCTTCCCATTAGAGTAAGGGTATTTCAGCTCTGCAGGCAGGGAGGGGTGCTAGGAAACTGGAATAGGAGTGGCCATTTGAGATTTTCCCCGTCCATGGGGGGGCCCTCCGTTGAAGAAAATGAGTAATGGATACAGTGAGCTCTTGTGGGGCTGTGTTCATGGTTAATCAAATTAGCAATAGTCACAGAACACGCTGAACCATAAAATAGCCACATTTTAGTTTGTATAATACATTGAGCCACACGTTTCAGCTGCAATCCCAGTTTCTGTGTCCAAAGTGATAGAGCTCGGAGGCCAGGCTGGAATCAAAGAGTAAATTAAGTAAACAAATCTCAAAACCTGTCACTTTTTTTTCCCTTACCCATGCTGGCTGTTTTCCAGATCATCTGATTTCTTGGAAGCTCCTTCTCCTATACCAGGGGTAGGTAACCTTGGCTCTTTTATGACTCGTGGACTTCAACTCCCAGAATTCCTGAGCCAGCCATGGCTCAGCTTGGTACCTCTCTCTTTCCCCTCAGCGTGGCTGGCTCAGGAATTCTGGGAGTTGAAGTCCACGAGTCATAAAAGAGCCAAGGTTGCCTACCCCTGTGACCTGTACTAATAATGTTTCTGTTTTGGGCTCTATAACCAATTGAGCAAATGGGTTCTTTTAAATACCTTGACAGATTGAATCCTTCATTCTTGATTCAGTTTCACGGGATCAGCCTTTCCGTATTTCTTCTAGGGGTGCTTTCTCAGTGGTCCGGAGATGTGTGAAAAAAACCTCATCTCAAGAATTTGCTGCAAAGATCATCAATACCAAGAAGCTGTCAGCAAGAGGTAAATATCCCAGCGCTGGTTTTAATCAAATTCCTATACAGGATAATGTCGGAGAATTGATTGCAAGGCTCTTGATTGATACGGTGTGGCAAATGTCCTCACTGATCTTGGAATCGGTATTTCTTTTAGCTTTGATTTTGGAGTATGCTGCCTCCAAGCTCATAGTTAGGATGGATTCATTTCTTACTAGATACTAAACATCGTGTACTGATGCTTAATAGTGAGCATCGAATTAACTACCTACCTAGTAAGTCACTCAACCTATTAGGTAGTTGATGTTATACTTTCAGAAGTATAAAATGCGTTATGACTCTGTATTTGGACTGATTCTTTTTTAAATTCCCAGGGGCTTAGTTCTAAATAAGTTTGCTTAGAGCTGCATTGAAATTGGCCACAAAAGATTATATCAGGCCTCTCCAATTCAAATGTATTTTATTTCATATTTTGAAGCCTAGAAGAATGTTGGAATCAGAAAGAGAAGGGATTGTTGGAGGAATTGTCTAGGGCCCTTGTCCTGAAGCTGTTGGTATTACAAGTAATAATGTTTTTGTTTTTAGCGTTGGGATTTGGGGCTTGAATTTGTTACTATTATTTAGTAGGCCTGGGGATTTGGCACGTGGAAAATCGGTGGAATTTATGAAGAACAAAAAGAGTCAATAATAAAGTCACATTTTCTTTTCAGGGATGTTATGCTTTGCATGCACTTAGCTATAGATTACTAACACACAACATCAACTCCACATTACTTAAATACATCTGTGAAATGGTACTCGTACGATGCTTAAAATGATGTATTTCGTGATGTTTGTCCACTCATCCAAGACCTCTGTTTATACTTGAAGAAAAAGCCCATAATAGCATGCCACCATGCTTTTATACTGTTTTGAGTAGCTGTCAGTGGCATAAAATGTGTAATAATCCAATTTAAGTGCAAGCATTTACTTATTCAGTGGTTCTGTAGCAAATGTTAATCTATTCTGCGTAATTAACCAGTATGTATAATGATATTTTCAGTAAAGCCAGGGTATTGATTTAATCCTAATCAGTGTGATATTTCTTTACTCATTTTCCAATTATCTTACCTGTTTTCAGGTTTCAGGGCATCTAGCTGATGGCATGCAGTTACTTGAACTAAAGAGTTGTCTTTGTTGCAATATTAATGTTATTGTTTCTTCTTGTAATTCCTCCATGACTTCTATAATTGCATCTTCAGTTTAGAGTCTTCTTGATTTCCTTCCTCCCTCCTTTTTAGCAACTTCAGCACTAACAGTCGCCTTTCTTTGCTCTGACTTAAGAGCTCCCAACCAGAAAATTCCTTGTTCATAACGTACATTGACCATGCATTTGAGGAAGGGGTGTCTGCTTCTCAACATGTGGAGAGTAAGGGTCTACGAATGCCTTTTCAACCATTGTAGATGGCAGAAAATCAAAGACCTGAACAGGTGCAGAGTTGATAGAGAAAACTCAAAGCTTCTTCGCTTTGAGAACCTTCTCTCCGTTTCCTACTGCAAAATATAGATTACGATTATTTTCATTTACCACAATTGTGTCTTTGTCCCCGCAGTCCCTGTTTTCTTTTCATGACATTTCTATTAGAAAGACATCAGTTGTCCTAACAATTAAATTATCATAATGTCTCAGTGGAAATTTGAATTTCCCAGTATGACTTGTAACTGTTGCACTGGTCTGGTCTTTGGTTTTTCAATGCGTTTTGGAAGAACTACAGAGCAATAATTAGGGCAGGTAATACTATGCTGACGTTTGGGTTTCTCTGACATACTTGACTCAAAGAGAATGTTTATCAAATGGGAGAAAGGATAATGGGTGCCCCAAACTTCATTACTAAAGAGTACATAATTTTATTCAAATTCCTGAAAAACATATGCAGCTTTAGGTGTATAATTCCAAAGGAAAAAAAATTGATATATTTGGTCATAGATTATGGCGCAAGAGAAATGAGGTGCAAATTTATTTATTTATGAAATTAATAGCAAAAGTAAAACCATTGAACTAATGGGCCCATGTCTGTGAAGAATGGAGAGTTATTATTGACTTATTGTAAGATGGAACAGACGGATAACATGATCTGAGCGTCTACAAATTGGTAGTAGCATTCAGCATTGAATGGGGGCAGCTATGTCCTGGCAAAGTCAATACAAATATTAGTGGTGCCAAGAATCAATGGAGAATTGTTTTTTAGTGATGATAGGAGATACTGTCTTATTGTTTTTGCAATAAGACAGCTGTAGTACATGATACCTCAAAGCTATCCAGAGCTTAGGAGCAATTATAAGGCAGAAAATATAAAGGAGTGATTAGTCTAAAACAGGGGTGTTAAACTCAATTTCATTGAGGGCCACGTCAGCATTGCGGTTGCCCTCGGGGCGGGGGGGCAGCGGCCTACTGGGTGGGCATGGATGGAGTGGGTGTGGCCTACTGGGTGGGCATGGCCAGCTCTACATCTTTCCCGTCAAGGGTGCCTCTGGGGGCCTGGGCAGGAGTGGGACAGATCTGAGGGTCTCTGGCAGAAGGGGGTGGGACCGGGGCAAGCGCCAAGGCATGGTCCATTTCTTCATTCCTCACAAAGGGTGACACCTGCCCAGCATGCACCCAGGGGGCAGGGCCGACACGGCAGGGGCTGGTTCCTCGCTGTTTCCAGACGGCCTTGTGGAGCTAAGACTGAATGCGTTTCAGCATAGATGGCCACCACAAAAATTGTACATTGGCTCCCGGCTGGCCTGGGCCAGGGCCAAGGCAGCAGGGATCGTTCCCTCACTATTTCCAAGATGGCTTCACGGGCCATATGAAACCACTTTGCGGGCCGCATCGGGCCTCCGGGTCTTGTGTTTGACATGTCTGGTCTGAAATGACAATAGCATCTAAGATGATCTCTGATTATAAGTATACCATAAAAGATGGAAGGAGAAGATCACTATTTGTCTCTTCCAGGAAAACCATGGGGCAGGTCTTGTTACTGCACATCTGTGAGGGAAACTATATTCAGCACGAATTCCTATTGCTGCTGGTTCTGCTTTCATCTTCCTCCGGTTGGGCTCAAATTATTGGTTGCTCCGATGTGTGGGAAAATGTGTCTGAAGTTGGGCTTTGCTTTGACCATATGTTGTGTGCAACAAGATTGCCATACAAATCTGTTCCTTGTGAATCACCACTGTGCGGAGATGGCAAAATAAACCACAGTACACATACACAGTGTGTGCAGATTGTGATAAGGGTGTGAAAATTGCAAGGGGGAAAAAAAAATCTGTCAATTGTCATGATATCTAAATCGTGGAGTAAGAATTTAAGGGCCCAGACGACTTTATTGAGCTGCAATAAAATATAAGCCATTATCGCCAGCCAAGAAAGCCATAGGCAGTTAGTTATTCTAGCTGATCGGTGATAAATGATTGTGCTTGTGCTAAAGATGGTGGATTAATTCATTTGAGCATTTCCGAGCACCGTGGAGGGTGGAGTTCTGAGTATTGCATATTGAGTAGAAGGGCAAAGTAGGAAAATATATAAAGTCAGAAAATACCAAGAGAAACCCTTTAGGTCTCTGTACATAAAGAACCTCTGCTGGAAAAGGGAATCTGGCAGAGTACGTTAAGATCAGATATAGCTCTGGGTGACCTAAGAGGTGTACAGTTTCTCTGGTGCTTGTAGAGCGGCAGTGTGAGTCAAGACTATGACTAAACACTCGGCTGAGAAAGTATTGGAGCCGCAGTAAACGCCAGCTGCAAAGTGGCAGGGAGATTTCACTACCCCATCTCTTTCTTTACAAATTCAGGCTGCTTGTAAGAAAAGCTGCGGTGCAGTGTTTCCTCTAGCAAGTGTGAGTTGGCCTTGATCATTTCGGCTTCCTTTAAATACCAGCTTTTTTTTTTTTTTTTTTTACTATTTCAGTAGTCTCTGGAGTCACGTGTTTTAGTATGTGCTTAGCGCTTTTCCTTTAACATGTGCTGGCCCTCTTATCTGTGAAGTAAAACTGGTTTAGAGCAGGGTAGCTTACATTTCTTAGTACATACTTGTGTGGGAGCCAAGATTCTGGGTGCTGACAGAGACACTGAAAACAGAAGTGAATTGCTTCATTACCAGAATGGCAATTATAATCTCCCTTTGTTCTGTGATCTGGCTAGCTTGAGGTTAGTAGAAGCAAGGCTGAAGAACTGCGATCTGATGGTGTTCTAGTAAGGGAGGCAGTGGATGAGTGGAAAGCCTGTTTTTTGCCCAGTGCTTGCTCTGCATCCATCCTTCCTTCCTCTTCTCTTGAATCTCTCTTTCTATAGACCAGTGATGGCGAACCTTTTAGAGACCGAGTGCCCAAAAACTGCCCCCCACCCCCGTCCCCGCTCCGCCCTGCCCACTGGGCCACCCACCATCTCCATGGCCCACCACAGATCACCCAAGCAGCCCAGCAGCACCATGGTGGCCACGCCCTCCGCCCGTGCCCCGCAGCATCATCTGCGTGCAACGGGGCGCAAGGGTGGAGTCTTGTCTCCACTGCCCGGCTACCATGTCCTTGGCTGCGCTGCTTTGTGTGGGCCGCGCCCAGGGGTGACTCTCCTCTGGGGGGGGCTGCTGGTGAGGAGGGGGCCATGGGAGGAGGCGGGGCTGGGGAGATGGTGTGTGTGCCCACAGAGAGGGCTCCGAGTGCCACCTCTGGCACCCGGGCCATAGGTTCGCCACCGCTGCTATAGACTATAACACAAGAGATCGACTCTTGACTTGAACAGAGATAACACCTTACATTGCAAAACATCTCACACTGTTAAACCTTGACATGGGTTTAGAATAGCAGTTGTCGTGGCTGTGACTTTAGTCCAGAATTGATTCCATAACTGGAAAAGAGGTGTTGAATTTGTTTCTGGCATCACTTTAGGAGAAAAGGGAAGAAGGCTATTAAGCTGTTTCAAAATCATTTGTCTGCTGATGTAGTAGCTTTTCACTTCGTGATATCTGTGCTGAAGTCATGTGAGTTTCCTTTGCTCTCTTTTGAGAGTCAGTTTTCTGTAAAAAAAAAAAGTATTAATAGAATATTGTCAGAGGGGATAAAATAAAATATGCTGATTCTTTTTCATCAAGCTTGCTTGCCTAGTAAGGAATAGAGGCGGTCTGTGGGCCACAGGCCACCCCTGACATCCCATCTGTCATGCCAAGATAATATTCTGCTCGAATTGGTGAGAAATAGATGAAGTTCAAGGGTATTATATTTTTTTTCCCCTCCAAAATAACGCTAGGAGGCCTTTGGGAGGGAAGATGCCCTTCCATCCATTCCCATTCCCAAATTTGGCTGAAACCAAGCTGCTGAAATTTCTGAACAGTGATGCAGTTTGTGCCCATTTTGGGAGTGGGGAATAAGTGTGGCATGCTCCCGTCCCTCCGGCCCAACCTCTGCTCCCTTTCCCATATTTAGGCCATCAAAATAGGCAAAAGATATTTCCCTCCTCCATTCTGGTTTTTAACACTGTTGATCTCTGGTGTCCAGCAGCAGGTCAAGGTGACTGGAAGTAGAGCAAATGGGAAAAGAGTAGACCAGAAGAGTAGACTCAGAGGAACCCTTTGAATCCCTGTAGGTAAAGAACCTCTTCTGGTTAAGAAAAAAGTGAAATCTGGCACAGATTTCAGAAAAGGCAGGCACAGCCACACATCTCTCTGCATCAATGATTCACCTGTGGAGATGGTTACCAGCATCAAATTCCTGGGTGCGCAGCTAACGAGTAGGCTGGCTTGGTCACTCAACAGTGAGAAACTGGTGAAGCGGGCACAGCAGCACCTGCATTTTCTGCGTCGCATGAGAAAAGCACACCTTCCTTCCCCTGTCCTGACCACTTTCTACAGGGGGACGATCGAGAGCATCCTGTCATACAGCATCACAGTCTGGTTTGGAAGCATCACTGCTTCAGACAGGAAGGCGGTGCAGAGAGTGGTGAGGACGGACGAAAAGATCATTGGCCGTTCCCTCCCTCCCATCCAGGACATAGCACAGAAGTGTTGCTTGAGCAGGGTCCACAAGATTGCCTAGGACACTACACATCCTCTTCATGACCTGTTTTCCTTGTTACCTTCTGGGAGGAGTTTGTCCGACCCATTGCGACCCCATGGACGTTCCTCAGGCCTTCCTGTCCTCTACCATATTCTGGAGACCATTTAAGTTCACGCCTACTGCTTCAGTGACTCCATCCAGCCACCTCATTCTCTGTCGTCCCCTTCTCCTCTTGCCCTCCATCTTTCCCAGCATCAGGCTCTTCTCCAGTGAGTCCTTCCTTCTCATGAGGTGGCCAAAGTACTTGAGTTTCAACTTCAGGATCTCGCCTTCTAAAGAGCAGTCAGGGTTGATCTCCTCTAGGATTGACCGGTTTGATCGCCTTGCAGTCCAGGGGACTCGCCGGAGTCTTCTCCAGCACCATAGTTCAAAGGCCTCAATTCTTTGGCGCTCAGCCTTTCTTAGGGTCCAACTTTCACAGCCATACATTGCAACTGGGAAAACCATGGCCTTGACTATACGCACTTTTGTTGGCAGGGTGATGTCTCTGCTTTTTAGTATGCTGTCTAGATTTGCCATAGCTTTCCTCCCCAGGAGCAAGCGTCTTCTAATTCCTTGGCTGCAGTCCCCATCTGCGGTGATCTTGGAGCCCAGGAAGATAAAATCTGTCACTACCTCCATTTCTTCCCCATCTATTTGCCAGTAATTGAGAGGACCGGATGCCATGATTTTCACAACTAACAACAACAAAACTGCTTAGAAAGGCTATAAAGCACCGTGAAGCGGTATATAAGTCTAAGGGCTATTGCTATCTGAGCCAACGATTACTTTCATTCTTGTACTGGATGTTCAGGTTGTTCCATTTTTTTTCTTTTTTCTTTTTTCTTGGCCTGGAAGAGAATCACTTTTAATAGTGATTCCCAGCTTTAAGCCCGGAAGCATAACTTCCTTGCTTGCTCATGTTGCAATTAAGCACCCTGTTCTTCATGTAATTAAATATGGGCCATTGAGGAACTAATTTGCATTAAGGTTGTGACTTGCTGTAATGTTTATGTCTCACTAAACAGTCAAGAAAGTCTTTTCTCCCCTTTTCACTTTTTTGCAATTGAATAAGGGAGCCCCGGAGAAAATTGGGGTGGAATGATGTGAATGATCCCATATCGCCCAACCAAATAAATCTTATTTATAGCGTTTTATTCCTGCCCTTCAAACAAAAGCTCCCCAAGTCACTTACATATAATCAATGAAAAATGCATTGTGTGTTGTAGCCTTATGAACAAAAGAGATAATCCAGAAAGGAAAAAAGTATATGGAGAAAGGTAAGATAATGACCTCTTTCCCCTTCCTCATAGTAGTAGTAGTAGTAGTAGTAGTAGTAGTAGTAGTAGTAGTAAAGTTGGAAGGGACCTTGGAGGTCATCTAGTCCAACCCCCTGCTCAGGCAGGAAACCCTATACCATTTCAGACAAATGGCTGTCCAGTCTCTTCTTAAAAACTTCCAGTGTTGGAGCATTCACCGGTTCTGGACGCAGGTTGGTCCACTGGTTAATTGTTCTAACTGTCAGGAAGTTTCTCCTTAGTTCTAGGTTGCTTCTCTCCTTGGTTAGTTTCCATCCGTTGCTTCTTGTCCTGCCTTCAGGCGCTTTGGAGAATAGCTTGACTCCCTCTTCTTTGTGGCAGCCCCTGAGATATTGGAAGACTGTTATCATGTCCCCCCTCGTCCTTCTCATCATTAAACTAGACATACCCAATTCCAGCAGCCGTTCCTTATGATGCAGTTGGATCTTTTAGCAACAGATCCTTACTTCCTGATTAGGATCTAATTTGGCTTGATAAAATGGCAGGTGTTGCTGTTCTTTCAGTTTACAGGACTGGGGAACATTTGTGGGGTTGGAACCAGCAATCATCCTTCTGAAGGAGATGCTGGAGCTCATCTGTTGCCAGTGTGGCATCACTGGAAGTCACATGGTAGGACCCAGAGATGCTTTTGGACCCAAAAGTCCAAAAGGGAACTGTACTTTCTTGGGTTTTTTTTCTTTGAAAATGTTTTGCTTCTTATCCAAGATGCTTCAGAAGAGAAGCAAAACGTTTTCAAAGAAAAAACAAACAAAGTCTAGTTGCCTTTTAGAAAAGCACCTTTGGGACAACCATGACCTTGATGATTGAGAATCTCCATAGATGAGATGTTAGGAGTACTCTGGTAGCTTTTAAGCTTAGTTTTAGAGGGTATGAATGACAGTTGGGAAGCAAAATGCTCGTATCGGGTCTTCATCCTGAAAAACCACATCAAAACAGACCAGTATCAATATTGGCATCACATTGCCCAATTTCAGCCAATCTTGGAATGTGGCGAGTGTAATGTGGGTTGACGAGTCTTGCTTTGAAAACTATTTTTAAGCGAGGTATGGAGTGTTCCTGCTATCTAATCAAATTGCTTCCTCCCATTCTCCCTAAGAGTACATGCCCTATGAAGCTTTAGATTCCAGGCACAGTTACAAGGCAATGTAGCCAAGGATGAAAATTAGAGTTAAGGTGTTGATTTGAAATTGGCTAAAGCAGGGGTAGGCAACCTTGGCTCTTTTATGACTCGTGGACTTCAACTCAGAATGGCTCAGAATTCCTGAGCCAGCCATGCTGAGGGGAAAGGGAGAGGTTTCCATGCTGAGCCATGCTGGCTCGGGAATTCTGGGAGTTGAAGTCCACGAGTCATAAAAGAGCCAAGGTTGCCTCCCTTGGGCTAAAGAAAAAAAAATCCCAAGTATGTGAAAGTGAGCAAAATGATTAAATAAGTAAGACCAAATAGTATCTTGAGTGCAGATGGGCAAAAGAGCTTCAGGAAATGGGTAACTGAGTAGAAGGAATCAAATTTAGCTTGGAAAGTCAGCAGATGGTCTTTGAATCTCTGACTGGATTGTTTTGATTTAATATACAAATTAGCTGTAGTGTAGTGCTGAAAATAATTTGTGATTATCTTCAAGTATTTGAAATTGACACCCATATGATGTTGGAGTTTAAAGGGGCAGGATTGACAAGTACTAACTAGTCTGTTAAAAACTTTATTGAATAACAAAACCAAATATAGAACTAGCTGAGCAACGATATTCAAGTAATAATATTTGGTAATATGCTTTGTTAGATAGGGCTGTCTTTTTCCCTTTCACTCGTGTCCAATTTTTAGAGGCTTCTGGACAAGTCCCTGCAGTTTTCTTGGCAAGGATCTTCAGAAGTGGTTTGCCATTGCCTCCTTCCTAGGGCTGAGAAAAAGGGACTGGCTCAAGATCACCCAGTTGGCTTTGTGCTTAAAGTGGGACTAGAGCTGATGGTCTCCCAGTTTCCTGTGCCCTAACCACTACACCAAAGTGACTCTCAAATTTCAGTTTTGGGATATCGTGTTTTAAACTTTTTATGTTGAAGAATCCAAAACTCCCAATCAAGAGGCAAAGCTCTAGTAATACAAAATTGGTTGTGATATTTTCCCCTCTTTAGTTTTTCATGAAAGCCTAACAACCTTTTTGTGGAATCCCCAGAATACAATTTTGAGGGGGAAAAAAACACCAATTCATTTATCTGGTAACTGAAATGGGGCTCAAATGTCTTCCTTTGTGAAGAAATCTGATCTAGATATATCTGCAACATTAGCACTCTTTCCTGGAGGAATATGTGGTGCATTTCTGGAGTAGCAACCATTAGAAGCTAATTAGCTTTAATATACCTAGTTCAGGGGTAGGCAACCTTGGCTCTTTTAAGACTTGTGGACTTCAACTCCCAGAATTCCTGAGCCAGCCATGCTGAGGGGAAAGGAAGAGGTTTCCAAGCTGAGGAATTCTGGGAGTTGAAGTCCACGAGTCACAAAAGAGCCAAGGTTGCCTACCCCTGACCTAGTTAAACTTTTCCAGAAAATGTGAATTTGTCCTGGAAACGTGGAGAAAAAGGCACGAGATGCAGACTGATTGTAGGAAGCACAAAACATTGAAATAATAGGGACGTGTCTTGCCAATTAGAAGATGGCTGTCAGTGTTTGATAAAGTGAGAGAAAAATGCACAGTGACAAAGGCCATAATTTGAGTATAGACACTTCTAGTTCAAACCTTGTCTCATTTATAAATTCACTGATGCAGTTCAAATATGCATTAGAATTATGCAGCTAGTATCTTTTTCTATAGGGAAAATAGCTTTCATTTCTGGAGATGAATTGCCTCATAATATTAGTAACATAATGGATGCGTACAACTTCTGTTATATTAAATGGTTTTAAAATGCCATTGTTTTTAGAAATTTATTGCAAATACATATATTATGTAAATGGAGATAAATTTAAACACAAAAATACATAATATTCCCGAGAAATGGAAAAAAAATAGAGAACGTTGAACGTTGTGGTGATTTCCCATTGTTACGTGTAGCAGCGAATTTGTTATCTCATTTCAGAAAAACCATATCATTAGTGTTCTTATTCATACTAACGTGGCTGTAGACCTTGTTTTCAGGAAATGTCTTGAAGGGAATCCTGGATTGAGTTAACTTTAAGGCTAAATACATGAGGATTCACTCCAGCGCAGAAGAGTCTCTTTCCATTGTTGTGTAAACTCTAATGCCGTAATTGCTGCATTATATAAGGAATCTGAAATCTTGGATGGATGCCTGCCAATGAACTGATGTACTTTGCAAAAATGGCTGATATTGAAGCCAGAAAATCAGTCTCTTTGATGTATGCTTGGATTAAACAGTCTTACGTAGCACAAATCTGATACACAGTGTGGACTTAAGGCCATGGGATCTGTATGGCGGGCTGGCATGACCAGAAGTTCTGCAAGTTAACTTCCACATTTCTGGTGGGCTTTTTTGGCTGAGGAAGACTGACCTGATACCTTTCATATGGGTAACAGTGCCCCTGCTAGTCACAAATTTAAATTTAATTTAAATTCAACACTGTTCTTCTTAAGTTATGCCCTGTCCAATTGGATAGCAACTTTTCCTGCTAACACTGGACTGAAGGACTGAAGCTTTCATGAGCTTTATCACTTTATCTGATGACGCTGCTGCTCGCTCTGTGCATCCAGCGAAGTGAGCTGCAGCTCACAAAAACGTATGTCTTTTAATAACACGTTATTCAGAAAAGTTACTACCAGACTCCTGATGTTTTGTGTCTCCTGGAACAAATAGATTATCCTACTGAGAGATGTCTATTATTCCAACATCAGTATACTCAGCGGTTGGTATGCAATAGTTTCATAGAGTGAATGTTCAGTCCTTGCTCTTCTAAGTCTTTTTGTTGTGGTGGTTTTTGAGCTGCAGCTAAGCTCGGTCTGATCTGGTCTTCTTTTTCTCCCAAATCTCATCAAAGAACTTAATGCAAGTAATGGTTTGCTTCTGTGGGATTTAATGGGAACACAATCCCAGCTGTTGAGGATGATGGGCATTCTTGTACCTGTAGTCACTTTCCTTGGTACTTCCAAGCTGACATGTTTAGATTCTTTCAGTAAAAACTGACAAGCTTTTAGATCATCTTTATTTCTGAGTAAACTCTGCCCTCCCTTCAGGCATTCTTAGGAAATAAAAATAGAGGGGAGCTGTGCCTCAGTGCTTTGTTTGGAAATGTGCCATTCCATTTTGTGTGTGTGTGTGTGTGTGTGTGTGAGAGAGAGAGAGAGAGAGAGTGAGAGAGAGAGAGAGAGAGAGAGAGAGAGAGAGAGAGACTGGCCATGCCAGCTACGGCAGACATTTTGTGGCTAGGCTAATCTCCCATGACAGCCATGTTGTGAAGTGACCACACAAGTGCCTCTGAAAGATGTTACGTTCTTGGGTCACACACTGAAGTTGCAGATTGCCTTGAGATGAAAGACTGAGTGTGTGGAGAATGCAACTACATTTTTTGTGCTACAGAGTCTTACTTTGGTTTGTAGTACATAATGAAAACTCCCAGAAAATATTCCAGGACTTCAAGGTGACAAATGCCAGGCCCTTCTCTAATTGCCACACCATATTTAGCATCCAAGGACTTTCTTCAGTAAATGAAAGCAATGACGAGAATTGGTTGTGGTCTTAGAGGTCATCTAGTCCAGCCTCTTGCTGGGAGCAGTATTGGTTAAAGCATCTCGGACAGATAATTGTCTAGCCTCTGTCTGAAAATCTTTAACAAAGGAGAATCTAACACTTTATGTGGTAGCTTGTTCCACTGCCTGGACAGCTTAAATTATATTTATTTACTTGAGTTATATAGCCGCTCATCTTACTTTTATGTAACTCTAAGCGGCTTACAGAAAAGCAAATAACACAAAATAAATGATACAAAACAAGAATAGCAGCAAGGCACAATCTAAACCAGGGGTCTTCAGACTTGGCCCTTTTATGACTTGTGGACTTCAACTCCCAGAATTCCTCAGCCAGCGTGCCTGGCTGAGGAATTCTGGGAGTTGAAGTCTACAAGTCATAAAAGGACCAAGTTTGAAGACCCCTGATCTAAACTATCCTCCATACAGCAGGAAATGGGCTCTATCCATGCCATAAGGCCTTATGAAAAGGCAGCAGGGCCAGGGCCAGTCTAATCTCAGGGGAAATGATGCTCTAGTCCAGGGGTAGGCAACCTTGGCTCTTTTATGACTCGTGGACTTCAACTCCCAGAATTCCTGAGCCAGCATGGCTCAGCTTGGAAACCTCTCCCTTTCTCCTCAGCATGGCTGGCTCAGGAATTCTGGGAGTTGAAGTCCACGAGTCATAAAAGAGCCAAGGTTGCCTACCCCTGCTCTAGTCTAAAGGGCATGTACCAAGGTAGAAACGGCTCTCCTTCTGAGCCCCATCAGCCAACATTCCTTAGCTCCCGAAATATGCCCTCCAGCCAGATCGGATGGGATGAGTAGAAACAATTGGGGAGTTATGGTCTTGTAAGTAACCTAATCCTAAACCGTGAAGAGCTTTAAAGGTGACAACCAGCATCTTGAATTGCAGCTGGAAGCACACCAGAAGTCAGTGTAGCTCACAAAACAGTGATGTCGTAAGTGCTGAGTAATTGGCACCAGTAACTGCCTGTGCTGTTGCATTTTGCATCAACTAAAACTTGCAAATACTCTTCAAGTACAGCACCACAGAAAGTGTACTGCAGAAGTCCAGTCTGGAGGTCACAAGGACATGAGTGACTGATGCACATCCCTAAACTGTGGGAAAGCCCTCCTAGCCATGGCTGCCAGCTGTTCTTTGATCAGGACCTGTGAATCCAAGAGGGCCCCAGATTGCACATCCGGTCTGTCTGGGGCAGAGCCATTCCATCCACAACCAAAGATGGAAGATTCCTGGAACCAGGAGATCCAAAAACCCAAAGCCCTTCGGTCTTCTTTGAGTTGAGCAGAAGCCTGTTGTGCCCCAT